TTTATATAAGTTAACACCCACGGCCTCTCAAATCCGGCCCTGCGGTTAATTTCATTAACGGCGTAATTATGCGGTATTAATCGATCGCCTGTAAATAATTGACGTAGTTCATTCTCATCATTCATTCTCTCTATTAGCTACACTAAGCTACAGTTTATTTATATGTTTATTTCATAGAGTTGACTGCTAATTTCATACGACTGCTAAAATAAATACAGGCAACTATAATTTTAAACAGTTCTTGAAATCTTCCTATATTGAGGAATTTAATACGAAATGAGAAAATTCATTAATATAAAAGACATCTGTACACAAATAAAAACAGATATGATCAATGTCGAGATAATCATTCTGCAAGATTCAATCTTTTCTCCAATGTACCTTATCGCAGCTATGAAAAAGTCGAAAAGTCACTTGGTTCCAAATGGTTTTAAGTCCTTCGAGTTTCACGTTGTAACACTATCAGCAAAAAGGAATAAATTGTTTCTTAAGATTGTCGGTATAGCAAAATCTATTGCAGATAACTCATTTCAACTCGGAATCTATTATTACGGTGAGCAAATGATATTAATTGCATCTAAGTTCTTTCAGATGCAGATTACCCAGTTAGACTTGAACCTTCTATAGAACCTTCTTCATCACTTTTTGTTCCTGTTTGTTACAAAGAAAGTTTGATATTGAATAATTTTGTTTTTACAAATCAACAGTCCTAACAATAGTTACGAGATCAATGGCGAAATGGCTTAAGTACACTCAAAGAAAAATTGTATACTTGATTAACATAAACAAAAAGCATATTTCGTAAGTAAAAACGATAATTGTGTGGAGCTAGACAGAGCTTGGCCCATTGCAAGTTTCGTAGACTATATGCTCTAATATCGCAAGGAAGGATATTTGTATGACTTCTATGTAGTTGCGTATGCTTACCTGGACGAAATTTTAAAGGTTGAATTTTAACTAAGAATATAACATCTTTAACTCAGAGAGTATCCTTATGCTCGCGGTAATCAAAATGTATTAAAACACTCAACGCTCACCCCAAATATATGAAGATTATGAAATCAGATAGGTACTTGCTTATTAAGTAGGGTCGACATTCTTCCACTTCACCTACCTACCGATTTCTGATCTATAATTAACATTTATTATTAATTTAAAAATATACCAGAAAATGGTAATAAATAATTTACATGAATATGTTACAATATCACAAATATTATAAAACCTAATCAAAATCACTTATAATTATGCACAAATGTTGTTAACTTTAATCTTTGAATAATAATAAAAATAATTGAAAAAACTTGGTTTAATTCCCAAGCAAATACTGATAAAAATTTGTATTTCCATTGCAAATGAAGTAGAACTACAACTGTTTATTATTATATTTATATACCATGCAATTCCATTTGTAAGCACCCCCTTCTATGAGCGATAACAATTGATTTTCGATTTTGCAGCAATTTACCCCAGTTATCCGTATCTGCTGCTTTGAGGGTACTTAAAACCTATTATTTTATTTAAGCCATTGTGTACATTCTATGGCAATGCAGTGACAAACTCTATTATTGTGATGACTATAATAGCAGGATGCGTACGTATCTATGATGTTGTAATGTTACATTTGTAAATAGTGTAAAATTTATCATATCAAGTGAAACAGCTTACATATTTGTACCATTAATGATAGTAACATGCACTTTTTCCAATTGAACATTATTTTCAATTTTATTGGCACAACTCTCCCACTGTGATGGGATAATATATCATGCATTGTTTGCATCTTTGAATAGTTTTTCTTTTTTCTTAGTTCATAGGCGCACACACAACTGAGAAAAGCTTTGAGCACACGCGAAATGTATCTGAATCCAGTTCCGAATGCAGCTGCATAATTTGATGATTAATAGAATTTATTATTGAAAAGGTAAAATTTTATTTGGAAAAAATAATGAGAGTTATAAGATGTAATGGTTTTTTCCCTTAAATTAAAAAAAAAAAACATTTTAATTATATCTAGAAAAATCACTTCTAGTTTTCCAAAGTTCAATTAAAATTTTATATTTATTGGGAATGTCAACGTACTTTTTACGTCTACTTCCAATATCTGAATTTTAAGACACCCACAATTTTTCTAAAGAATTAAATGAAATCGAAATTACTTATTCAATCGAAAAGTAATTATATTATCCACTCATTGTATAATTGAAGTTTCATTAATAAGTGTACTTAATAGACTCAACAGATGGTTGAAAAAATCATTTAATTATTTCAAATTTACTATGAAAGAGAAAGAAGTAAACTTTGGCTTAACGCTTTACACAAAGTTATTCACAATTCATTAATTAAAAATTAAAAAATTTTTTTTGTATAATAACAATTCATTGAAAACTCCGCTAAACGAACGCTCTCATATATATATATTAATATTTCCATTTACTATAGCATGAACTGAAAAGGTGCCAGCAATACACCTAATAATTATAAAATAATTTTGTATTTTAAATAAAACAAACCAGAAAAAAAAACAAATTAATAAATAAATTAATTAATAAAAAAAATTGCAAATATTATGTAACAAAAACTTATTTCTTTAACATATTAAAAATTATATGTTATCGGTTTCGTTTTCTTTTTCTATAGATTACAATTCTTACGAGCTTTTACTTTTTTTAAATTATTTTATTTTTTAATAACTCATCGAATAAGCCTTTATCCTGCACCTTCCCCGCCGCCGAAGGCATCCCTCATGGTTCTGTTTTAGTTCTGATGTAACAGCTATACACGTCAGACCTTCCCTCCTCACTCCCACTTCCCAATCCCAATCAAGCAATTGTGCTATGCCCATAAGTGTCTGATGTATATAAAATCCAAATCCGCACGCAGAATCTCTGACATTCTCACTAAATATCCGGCTAATCTAACCAGGTACTACACCACCTAGAAACTCAAACTCAAGCGAACAAGATGTCAACAAGTACTCTGACGGGTAGACGGAACGACCGCTTAAGACTATTCAGCTACCGAACAGATATCGCATATTAATACCACACCCATCCAATTAATCTACAAATTTAAATATCTTGGAGTTACGGTTATTCCCAAACACAACTTCATTCTGCACATATCCCAAGTCGTTCAGAATGCCATCTTCCGACACATCCAACTAAAGAATGCTTTGCGTAAGCATAAACTTCTTAACGTTTAGACCAAATTACTTTGTTCACCCCCTATTCATCTACGCGTTCCCGATTTAATTCTATCTAAACTCGGCGCAAATGGTACGTTTACG